TAACTTTTTCAAAAATGAACATATCAATATAATTTTTTTTTATATAGATGCTTGATGTCTTTACCTATCATTTGGTATATTTTTTTTGTAAATCTGACACTTAACCTGCCCACAAGGGGGGATTTAAAATGACAACTTTTTCACAAAACATTAACTTTTTCAACTTAACTTTTGAAAATGTTCCGGAAGGTCTGACACTTTTATATATATCTTAAATTAAAGCTAATGTAATGTACTTTAATTTGAAAAAAAAATTTTGACCTCTGGACTGGTCTTCATGGTGAAAATGGCTACCAAATGCTATTTTCGTGTGAAAATTCTCAATTTTATTTTTTATATTTTTAACTCTATAATGCTATAACTAATTGAAAAGTGTATGGATCAACACAATTTTTTTATGAAAAATAATATTTTTTAATAATCCCTTTTTCATTCGACATACTTTATCTTAATCAAGATATTAATAAGGAACTAGCAGATCATGTAGCTTTTGGAATAATACACCAATTTTTTTTAAATTAAACACTATCTAAAGATTTGCATCGAAGCGTTTATTTTTGATAGTGGTTTTAATCACTATCAGATATCATTATACTTGATCCAACTATATCACGGCACCACTGTGCTGCGACCTCCCTGTGCTGGGTTTTTTTTTTAGAATGAGTTTGGAATAAATGTGGAGTATTATATCTAGGAAAATTACACACACGAAAAATTAATCAATATAGAAATAATATATAGTTACCTGTTTCGCTTTCTCATACTTTCAGCATGAGGACTTTTTATGTACTGTTCAACGATTTGTTTCCATCGTCTTCTACATAACCACCCTCTAAAAAAACTTTGAACTTTTTTAATTTTTCGCATTTCGATCGAGTCTTGTACATTGAATGTTGTTTGATCATTGAATATGAAACTATCTTTAGATTGCCTCCTCGAAAAAGAACCAGTAATTCCTCCATCAAACGAACCAGTACTTGAACCACCATACGAATTCATTGGCTTTAGTTCCTTTTTTAGGGGCAATACCTGTAAAAAAGTGAGTAAAAGAAGTTATTAACTAACAGATATATTAAAAATGTAAATAAAAGTAAATGATACATCACGTCTTTGAATTATATAATATTAACGAAACATATTAAGTGTTATTTAGTAAATGTTTATTTACTTCTGCTCGTAATTTTTTTATTTCACTAGCCAATTCTTCGCATTGTTGTGTATATTGCCATTTTGCAGTCATTTCACTTTCTACAACTTGTAATAAATGCAAATGCCTCTGCTCGAGTTCTTCTTTTTGCAATAATAACTTATTGAAGCTAAGTAATATATAATAAAATAAAAATTTTTTTCTTATTATAATTTTGATAGGTTAGTTTTTGTTTACCTGGCTTGTTTTAATGCATTGACCCATGTTTTACAAGCAGTTTCAGATGACGCACGAAATTCGTATTGTCGCATTTGTGGATGGTTGTAAGAAATTACGAAACAATGCTGCAAAAATATAATAATCAAAAAGTTAATTTAAATACTTAGCTAACGTTCATTTTTGTTTTGTATATTTAATATATTTTTACCGTGTGTTAATATATTTAGTCCTATTTATGTATCTAAATAATAATAAATATAGGTGATGAAAACTTTATCCGAAACATGGTAAAATTTACTAAAATATTGTACAATAGTTCAATTAGAAATTAGGTAAGATATTTATTTTGAAGAGTTTATTATATGGCTGTAACTTCGTTAAAGGTTCTATAAGTTTATAGAATAATACAATCAATTACAAATATGAAACACTACGTAAATAAATGTTTCGTAGATAGCTTAAATAAATAAATGTATTAGTACAACAACATAACTCACCATAGTATTATATATATATATATCGAGGAATTGAATATAAACGATGATAACATGTTTAACACAAAATGTAACCCAGATATTCTAAGATACTTTGGTAAAACGTAAATATTATTGAGAATAACCAAGCCTAAATATAACTTCAGAGAATCTATGGCATAAATTTTTTAAGAAATATACAGGGTGTTCAGTAAATCAGGAAACGGGTTTCTATTGTTCTCATTGTTACAAACAATGAGAACAATAGAAACCCGTTTCCTGACTTAGTGAACACCCTGTATAACTCTATTCAGATATACAGAGTGTTCAGTAAGTCAGGAAACGGGTTTCTATTGTTTTTATTGTTTGTAACAATTGACCTGTTTCCTTACTTACTGAACACTCTACAGGGTGTTCAGTAAATTAGGAAACAGTTAAATTGTTACAAACAATGAGTACAATAGAAATTCGTTTCCTTATTTACTGAACACTCTGTATATAGATAAGTAGGTTAAAAGGTCCAAGTCCTTCATGGTCGATCTAACCCAACATTTTAGGTTAAATATTACCTAAAATAAGATCATTAAAATATTTGTTGGTATTAGCCCCCATTATAAAATTCTGAGTACGTTATCGGCTCTATTATTTTGTATCCAAGTTATAATAAAGAACTTTTCCTTTGCAAAAAAACAAAGAAACTAAAATTAAATAAAACAATATTTTAATGCATAAAAATATGAGCAAAAGTTACTATATCTATGATTTGTAGTATATTGTCAATGATGATATAAAATGTTAGTAATAATATGGGTTTCAGGCAGGGGCATCGTTATTTTGCACAATTGATCAAAAATACTTAAAACTTTCCACCTCTCCTATCACGTCTTCGCTTATTGTCACTGATATCCTCATTTGACCTAATTTGTGTTCTCCCATGTCAAACTCTTACTCTATATACTTTATCTTACTCCTAATTATTCTTAATCCAATTCTATCTAGAGATGATCTCCACATTTCAAGCCATTGATTAATTTCCTCCTTTTTTGCTCCTATTAACACTGCATCGTCAGAGAATAACATGCACTATGGTACCTCTCTAGTAAATTCATCGATCACTATAGAATATAAGTAAAGGCTTAAGGCTTGGTGTACTCTTACCTTAAAATCTTCTGTTACCCTTCCTACACTTTTTACCCTGGTACAAATTCCTAGTTTTGCAAAATTGCAACTGAGAATAATACCAATATATTTTATTTTATTTAAATAAGTTATTAATTACTTCTTTTTCCGGTTGAATTTTTCCCGTTAGTTTTGATGCTCCACTAGAAAAATCCAACCTTGAGCAGTAACTCCCTTCCAATAATATAACACCAGATGGTTTCGTACAACTTTCATGGTCATAGTAGAAGAGTATATTCTGAAAATTAAATGTTATATTAATATTATATATTATTCACGAAACAGGGTGTGGTGTGGTGCGGTAGTCACACTAGTTGTTGAAAAAACTCTAGTGTTAAGCCGCGCCTACCGCCGTAGGTGAACGGATGGGTGACCACGCGTGTGCTTTATGGTGGCGAAAAAGCACCATGTTCCCAGTGCAGAAGGCAACAGGAAACCACTGCACTTAAATTTCCCCAGGATATACCAATCGTATTAACCAACCTAACGCTTGTAAAAAAAAAAAAAATTCAGGAAACAATGTTGTGCATATTTATAAAACAAAATTTCCTGATAATAAAATAGCGATATTTAAGAAAAAATTGTTCAGGCTTCTCTAATAATTCTTTTTTAATGTAATCCAATTTAAAATTTGATTTTTTTATGGTATCATAAATGGTTAAAATAAAATTAAAATTAAAACTTATATTGTTTATTTTAAAATATTTAAAATATTTAAAGGGTAGAAGTTAAAGACTTATATACATAAATGAACTTTTAATTACATAAAAAAAGTTATCTAAGTGTAGCTTGAAGTGTCAATACATGGTATTATTTTTCAATAATATTATGACAAATTACTTGTTGATTTTAAACGTAATAATACTGCATGGAGTTAATTTAAATTAGACTCTAAACATTTTTAATTGTTTAGGAGAATGGTCTAATAGTTATTCAAATACAGATTAGTCAATCACTTTAATAAGTTTGTTATCTGTTTGAATATTATTTTAGAAATTATGTTAGGGATTTTAATATAAACAATCTTTGTTTTCTAATCTTATGTTTTTAAACGTTTTAAAAGGTTTGGTTTTCAAACATAAAACTGTATAGCTTCTAATAACTACGAGTACTTTGCAAGTCATTTCAGGTAAAAATTATAGGTTTTTTAAGTTAGTTCATATTTGCTCAAATGTTTAATTATAATTCTTCAATAAAATGATTAAGTTTATTATATTTAACAACGAGGATTAAATTGTATTTTTATTGTAATTAAGATAAATTTAACAATGTTAGTTTACTTATAGTTATTATAAGTTTGTTAATTCTTGGAAAACTATTACAACATTAAATAAGATATAGCATCAGTGAAAATTGTATTTTATGAAGAAATTATTTGTTAAATTGGTCATAGTAACATAAACCCACATTCCAATAAATAATAAAGTATTATTTTAATAAAAATTTAAATTAGTTTATGAAATTCATTATTATATTTTGAAGTCAAATGTCTCTCTAGGATATAAGATCTATCGGTGTTCATGATTAAATACACCTTAGTGATATTTATTAATTTAAAAGATGTATCTCATTTTTTATTACTTATCTGAAAGAGAAAAAATAACAATAGTTATAACAAATAATTTTTATTTGCAGATATATTGTTACGGGTATGTTTTAATGAGATTTATAAATTTTACTTTACACACATTTTATTTACAAAATTAATAATAATTATAGTAATAATAAAATTACAATAAAAAATCAATATTTAAAATTACAAATGATGTATGCTAATCAATCTAACAAATAAAAAAGCTGGAAATCTGTAAATTGGCTGTCAACTTATTTTGTTAGAATAAGTAACTTTAACGCAATATGAAATTAATAACAATATATTACACTATTAAATATTTTACGAATGTATAAAAAGATAGGTCATAATAATCAACGAATTAATCATTAATAAAAAAATTAATTTACTAAATTCTATATACGTCATAATTATTTTTAAATTTAGAAAATGTAAGTGAGTATTTATATTCTCTCTCCAAAAGGCTTCATTTTCTCCTCAAAAAAATGTGTATCCTTGACATACTTAATTTTAAATTAGCCCTTTATTGCTGCTGAATGCAATTAACAAAATCTATGAAGACTTTTGTTATATATCAATTAAGATATATAATTTTTACATAGATTTAAAATAAAATTTGATGGTCTAATATTTGAATTATATAAATTATAACCATAAAAATCTTTAAAGTATTCTTAATACATTTCTATCTAGATAATTTTTATACTTAAATTATTACTATAGTTAGTTAATTATTATTTTTTCGATAGTCCTACAGATATTTATTTTTTATTTAAATTTTTATTTTGTTATAGTTAAAATAAAACTAATAAATTTCATTTCATTTGAAAAATGTGTAATATTTAAATTAATTTACTAAATTTTAAATACGTCATATTTATTTTTAAATTTAGAAAATGTAAGTGAGTATTTATAATTACATTTTCAATTGGTTGTAAATGATTGAAAAAAATTATTTTTTTTTAAAATTAAACTAAAATAAAATAACATTAAGATAAGGTAAAGATATTGAACATTTTCAAAAACCATTATTTTTATCGTGGTTATGCGTGACATTCATTTATTATATTTTGAGTTTATAACTTAAATATTCAAGTTAGGCAGTATATTATTGATTTTTATTTTCAAAAAATATAATAAAACAGTCTTATTTATTTTCACCGGTGTGGTTTTTAAGGTGAAGTAGTCAAATTCATATTGGTCTCTTTAATAGATTAAAAATATAAAATATANGTAGTCAAATTCATATTGGTCTCTTTAATAGATTAAAAATATAAAATATAAAACCATTAGAAAATGTGAATTATCAAATTTAAACTACTATACTAAAATAACTAATCTACTTCTGTAAATAGAAGTAATACTTTTCATTACAATAAAAATTCTAGTACTTCGTAAACCTAGAATATTTTTCATCTAATTATAGTCATCCATTTATATTTCACAAATACAATTTTTGTTTTGTTGTTATCAGTTTTAACTTCACCTCCCGTCAATATTAAAAATTAGTTGACCAGTAAATTTTTAATTGAATAATTTTTTATTTTTAAGCTAGTTAAATATGTATGTTTCTACTGAAAAAAATATAGTTGACACCTTTAAAAGATGAAAAAGAGAAGAATAAAAAAATTAACTAATTTTGTTATAAATCAAGAATTATATGAAACTAAAAAACATTAAAAGTAATTTTCTTAACAAAATTATTATTTCAGGAGAAATCGAGTCGCTAGCGTTTATAGAATTACTATACAAGTGGCCCAGCACTCACTGACAACTTAAATAACTTTTGATCCAGTTAATATTTTTAGCTGATTTTTTATTTTTAATAATAGTTATACGTTAAGTTTATAATTATATCTCAAAAATTAATTTTTATACAATTTATTAAAAATATTGATTATTTTTAAATTTTAAATAAAATATAAAAAAAAAAAATTAGCTATTTTGTAGAGTAGATTTTTTTTTATTTTTATTAGAAAAACAATCTGTACAATTTAAATTTACAATAAGTTTTTTTTTGACACTTTAAATAATGACATCAATAACATTAAAGGAAGTCACCCATTGGTAAAATCTTAATTAGATAATTTAAGTTATACTTTTGTTAAGATTATATTGTTGTTTTGAGTTGTTTTGTTAAGTTAAAAGGTCACGGTTCCAGTTTCGTTTAAGTCGACGTGGTGGGTTATCAAGTATTGTAAAAGTATGCGTTTTTTTTATTAAAGGGTTTGTGTTTGTGTTAAGTTTTGAGTGGAATCTAGTGTAGTGTAAAGTAGCGAGTTCTTTGACTGATTTGATGTTAAGTTCTTTGTGTAAGTTATTGTTTGTTACATACCAGGGTGCGTCATCCAAACTGAGTGTTTGGTAAAATGTGGTGCTCTTGCAATATTGGCCTGATCCTTTTCAGCAGAAGTTTTTCAAACAGTTTGCTTAGTGTAGGTAATAAGATGATTGGTCTATATGACGTTGACATATATTTTGGTTTTCCTGGTTTAGGTATAAGAACTATTACAGCTATTTTCCAAATTGATGGGAAGTAAGAAAGTCGCATCATATTATTATTTAGAGTAGATATTAAGACAAATTTTGGTAAAAAAAATATCTTATTAATAATCAGTAGTAAATATTCTGTAACAGTTTAAAGTTTGTGAACATTTGATTTTTCATGTATTAAACATTGAAATACGTGTTGAGAAAAGGACAGAAGAAAGCACTATTTATTCATGATTACTTTAATTTGGAGGTGTGTAACTTTTTCCATGAAAATTACTTACGCTTATGAATGAGAGTGATAAGTAATAATTGCCTTATCAAATTTCTTATCATCGTATTAGTAACAAGTTTGTAAATATAATAGACCTTATACTTAGTATAATATAAATCATGACTCGTGATGAATAAATTCTAATTTTGGTTAGAATAAGTAGTTTTATTTCTAAAGAGATAAAACTACTTATTATGTAATAGGTATTGTTCGTGTTTTTATTTGAATTAAAACAAGTCATTAGAACGTTAACAATTTTCTTAGAAAAATTTATACATCATTCCATGTTGAGTATGAAAAGATTGTGTTTATATTTGTCCTTGTTTTATAAAATAAAATAACATAGTCAGTGTTTGATACCGTAGAATAAATACAGAAAAATTTGAATTTTTAGAAAATTTAAAATGTTACAGAAAATTAACTACAAAATAGTAATGAGAAATTTTTTCACCAAATTATTTCTTAAAATTTATTCTAATAAATTATAACAATTTTTATTTTAATTTTTTTTTTAACATTTCTCGTAAATTTTTAAAATTATAATTTTAATATTTAATTATATAAAAATGATATTTATTACATTATTATTATTGCCCTTAAGTATATTAAATTAAAAAAAAAATTAGCAAAAAAATATTAACTAAATCAAAAGTTATTTAAGTTGTCAGTGAGTACTGGGTCACTCTGTATATACACGTTGATCAGTTTATCATACTGCATTCGATTACTCGCAAAATACATACAATATTGAAAAAAAGTAGATGGGATTAAGGCAAGAAGAAGATTTGGTATTTTTTTTATTATTTAATAATGTGATAAAAATAACAAGATGTTTCAAAAGAAGTCGATTTCTTAAATTACTAATTTTGTGTATATAGCCTTATAGCATAGGAGGACGCAG